TTAATCAGACTATGCAGAGCGTGCTCGTTTCTCGTAGTTAGAGAATAAATTAACCAACAATCGCATACACTCACTTTATGTGCGGCCGCCTTAGTCCCCGGACAGACTTCACATGATTTGATCGTCGCGACTGAATCGCGACGAGACAACTGTTATAACATCATTCCATGCCGATCAACTTGCATTTCGGTTGTGATACCTTTCCAGCCCGAAATTTTTGAATGTGAAATGAAAATGAATGGAAATGTCGGCGATTGAGTCGCGACGGGGCAACTGTTACAACATCATTCCATGCCGATCAACTTGCATTCGGTTGTGCTACTTTTCCAGCCCGAAATTTTTGAATGTGAAATGAAAATGAATGGAAATCTTGGCGATTAGATTGCGACGATTAAGTCGCGTGAAGTCTGTCCGGGGCCTTGGGTAAGGGACTATATGTCGTCGACAGACTCCGACCCGCACGGGCAGCTGGTACGAATTTTAAGGTGTGGAGCTACGTGCTTTGTCGCATATCTTCGCGCAAAGTCAGCCCTTATAGGCAGTGACTCGGCAAATCTCAACCCAGTCAAACTTGCGCTTACCTGGGGTTTTTCAATACACTGATCCCAAAAATTCACTTTTGAAAGCTTGAAAACGGCTAAAATGAGGGTTTTTAATGCCCTTCCCTTTGATATTGGACGAGTGGAGCAAGGCCGATGACGCTAAATCGTGGCAGGTCCCAATGGTTATAGCCCTACGGCGGGCAGCCTCCAATGGTGAGAAGGAAATAGCTAACACGTCCGGACGCGTGTAAGATTGGCCTGCGCGTGTAAGTTTGAGAGCGATTTTCTCGGCAGGGAAAGCATGCTGTGCAACCGGAATTGCACTGTTTTCGTAGTTGGGCGATAAGGAACCTACCGTTAAAATCCCGAGTTGTTGGATTGCCGATCCACTGGCTTTATCGACGACACATAGTCCTTTACCCGGCTGCCTTCATTCCAAGCCATTGCACAAGAACCAGTGGCATTTTTTTCTGCTCAGTGGAATTCTAATCGCAATGGTTTTTCGCAACTTTGTCTTTCTGAATTTTTGATATTATGGGCCGGCAAAACTTTTAGAAAGCACCTCAAAAAGCAGTCCCAAGCTCTACAGAGTGGTACTCGAACATTCGCGAAAGACGGCGAAGCAGGCGCTTCATTGTCACACATTTTTTTGGGGCACCTTGTATATTGAGTACTAGGTTTGCAAAATTTTCAAAGAGTTGCATTACAAGAGATACCGACTACTATCTATCTCCTAGTTCCCTTCTTTCAGTATCTTTGCAAGACGTATTTCGTGATCAATGAGATTGTTTAACACGGAGACCGTGCCATTTTTAGCGAAACTGCCACTAACGTTTTTCGCGCATTTGGTCAGTGCATATGCGCATTACTGGGAGCAGGATCCAGCAAGAGGTGTGGCCCACAAGCGCCGGAGACGACCCCCCCTCTATTAATGTTTATTTACCATGACATAAAGGCTCTACCAAGCATTATTAGTAACATATTCGTAATTATCAAATAACCTTTGTGGGCCAAATTTTAGCGAGTTCTGAGGTTTCCAGCTATTGTGCCACCCAATCGAAGTTGTCATTTACAAACATGGTCAACTATATCTCAAAAGTAACAGCTACCTTCTGTGCTCAGTACAAAGCGCTACCTCTGTTTGTCCATACCATCTGCCTGCTTCTAATAACCATCAGACTGTGACATTAGGAGTTAGCCAATACATTTGTCCCACTTTTTTTCCCTCTTCTTTGGAAAAGGTAGTGGGGTTCAGACTGCTATCACGGTTGTATAAGTTTCAAGTTATTTCTATAGAACACCATGGATTTATTACCAATGGGTACTGCTTTATCGTATAGTTTATTTGATTGAGCGTTGCATTGAATAAAGGGGAATTTGTTTGTTATTTATGTTGACCAACAGGGCTTGAAAAGACTAGCCATGCGAAAACTTTCACGAAACAAAGTATTCGGGTATGAATGGCATTTAATCAAATGAATGCCAGTGCCTTGTCGACAGGCATCAAAAAGGTCAGAGCTGATCATTTCCAACTTGAAAGAAATATGCGCACCAACGGGGTACGCAAAGTTTCTGCTTTATACAGCTGATTTACCAAATGCCATCATCACTTCTACATACATTCCTTTTCTAAGCACATGGTGGTGGAGAGCAGACCTATAAAAAAATGGTGTGGACTTGCGGCATATTGTACTTTCATCCACGATTTGGGCTTTGTTTTGATGTGTCTCTTAATTTTACTGAGCATATAAGCAAGACAGTTATCAAAGCCTTTGGCTCTGTCTTCCTTGTGCTTGGGAATGTCCACACGAATAGTTTTACGAATTAGTCGGAGCAAAGCTAAAAGTATAATGAGATGCACCAGGACTGTACCATCCTGAGTCATCGTGACCACTAGAGAATGCGAGACTGGAGCCTTTTGTTTGCAAAAAATAAGACTCATTTTTTGCTCTGCAATCTCAAAACAAAAAATCAAACGGATCTCAGCAAATACCGGTCTTTCCCGCCATAACTTATAATAACGGGCTAAGAATGTTTACGTTTGTGTGTGTCTGTCTGTCTGCTGTAGCGAAATTCACATAATGAGCAGTAGTCAAATTTTTGAGCCTCAGTGTTTTGCACAACACACGCTGCCAACATTTAGATCCACCTCATAAAAGCACGAGCAAATTCGTCAAGTAGATCCCCCAGAAATTGACCCTCATACAAATTCGTCAAGTAGATCCCCTAGAAATTGACCCTCGTATGGAACTATTTGGCTTCTGGCTCCAAAATTGAAGCCATATTAGCATTTTTTGCAAAATTATAAAGATGTTAGGCAAGTGAATGTGTAAACTAAAAAAAATTTAGCACAAAAAAGAGATCAAAACTCTATTAGCTCACAATAACGGCGGCAAAAAGAATTGGTTGCGTAGTTTCTCTATAAACGGACGTCGGCACAATGTCACCAAAATAATAGCGAATGCAATGTCTTGAGATGCTTTTGTGTTCCATCCTTTGGACTACCGCTCCAAAAAAACTTCCCTTCTAAGAATTGACCGAATCGCTTTTCTCTAGCTTCTTCATTATCCGCAAGGGCAAGCCGAAACCTGTGCAGATACGAAATTGATAATTCAAAAGTCACTCAAAGCACATATTGGCGCGAACATACTGCTCGAAGCTTTTAGAGTTGCAAGCATTTCTCCAAAACGTTCAGGGTAACATAACCCGAATGGAACGTAGTGATAAGATTTGGGCGGACAAAGGGGCTTACACCAGGAAAAAGCGCTACCGGTACAATGTCGATGATGTCTTCTGGCAGTTCGAACAATCGACTTCTTCGCGGAGCTATTGAGACACGCTCTTTGAAAACGTTCGCAGGAAATCTAATATTTTGCCGATAGCGCATTCCTTCACCCTTCGGCCCTATTTTCGAAAGGTTGAAGAGTCCAAAGACAACAGATAAAGTGCTGAAACTTTACAGTGGTATGTGCTATCCTACGTATGAAGATTTACCTTAGATTATACGTCCCTGGAGATGAGTGGGTTCACACTTTGTTTCTTGATGATAGCGAAAAGCGACGCTGCGGAAGACAATGAGAAAGATAACCTGTGAGAGCAGAGAAACAAAAACACAAGAAGACACAGGATGAAGATGAAGAAGGCACAAAAGTAGATGATTGCCACAATAATCAATATCAGGATGGAGATGATGCTACCGCTAGTTAGCTTGTGAGCAAGTAGTCCTGAGTGAAATTCACGATACAACAAAGCTATCAACTCTCTGACTTCTAGGTAATGATCATCAGCGTTCGAAAAGCGCCAAAACGGTGAAAAAAGTAGGAGACTGAGGACTTTCACAAAAAGGTTCCGAAACGAAAAAAATATGCTAACCATAACCAGCGTACATTAAAACTGTCGCCAACTACAAGAAAGATAAGCAATATAGTGTCACGGTCTGCCAGTTACAATGTTTCTCCCCGAAATCTTACTTTGGCTAAATCACCGTGCGAGCAAATAATTCAGAGAAGATGCCAGCTGCGCCAGATGGTTTTGGATTGCATTACAGAAGAGGGATCATCTGACTGGTGAGCTGCGGATCAGATGGCCCGTGAACGGCTCGTATCAGACTTCTTTTCTCTTGTTTCCTTACAAGTATTTGAAAATAAGCGATATTCACTTTTACAAGCATTTGTCCTTGTATCATTTGCTGTTCAATCACGGATTAGACTAATTATTTTTTTGATGTCGTCATATCAACTTTGGTCGTCGTTTTCAGTCACCCGAGTTTGAGATGCTGGTGTGTTGCTCCGATACAAGCGCGCGTTTCAATTTTGAGTGCCAGTTTGAATATCTCTCAGCCAAATCATTATAAGTGCCTTTCTAAGGGCTCGGGCAGAGTTTACGCGATTTGATCTCCGCGATTCATCTCTACGAGACAAGTGCTAAGAGTTCATTGCATGCCGATCTTCTTGCATTGCGGCTGTGACTAACTATCACAACCGAAATACGAGAAGATCGGCAAGCACTGACCTCATAACACTTATCTCGTAGCGATTGAATCGCGACGATCGAGTCGCGTGAACTCTGTCCAAGGCCTAAGGGGGTTTGAATTTCAATCAAGGAGTTTCCACCCATTTGCCGTATACTCACCGCAAAACGGAAAATAGCGCTACCTCATGGATGACGAATATAGAGAATACTATTACGACAATGTAAAGACCACTGATTTCCTGTAGTTTACAAAAAGTGATAAGCTACTGTAATAGAAGGGAGTGGATGACTGTAAAAAGCAACAGTAACAGCGCTAACGAAACGAGATCGTGACTACATCATCAGACACATACTCACTACAATCAGTTTGCTTTAGACAATAAAAGTATCGTGAATCCTTCACAACCGCAGCTACGGCAGTATGGAACCCCACAACAAAATTGACTGGGTACCTTAGAAAAGACGTACAAATTCATAGGGACTTACCTTGATATGGTTGTTTTGAAGAGTAGAAGCCTTTACTGGGGAAAAGCCGAAGAGCAACAAATGATAGTGTTTTGATACCAGTGAAAAATTTTGACTCATTGTATTTAAGAGGAGTCGCAATTGACTCAGACGCCAGACATAACAAAATAACAAGATGCACTTCAGAATAATATGATTCACATCTTGGTATTCGTCGAAAAGAATTTCATTGCTGTAAAGAATTTGAGAATACCGTGACTTATAATAACGGACTAAGGGTGGAACGTGTTGTGTGTGTGTGTATGTGTGTGTGTATGTGTATGTGTATGTGTGTGTGTGTATGTGTATGTGTGTGTGTGTGTGTGTGTGTGTGTGTGTGTGTGTGTGTGTGTGTGTGTGTGTGTGTGTGTGTGTGTGTGTGTGTGTGTGTGTGTGTGTGTGTGTGTGTGTGTGTGTGTGTGTGTGTGTGTGTGTGTGTGTGTGTGTGTGTGTGTGTGTGTGTGTGTGTGTGTGTGTGTGTGTGTGTGTGTGTGTGTGTGTGTGTGTGTGTGTGTGTGTGTGTGTGTGTGTGTGTGTGTGTGTGTGTGTGTGTGTGTGTGTGTGTGTGTGTGTGTGTGTGTGTGTGTGTGTGTGTGTGTGTGTGTGTGTGTGTGTGTGTGTGTGTGATAATGTGTGTGTGTGTGTGATAACGGACTAAGGGTGGAACGTGTTGTGTGTGTGTGTGTGTGTGTTGGTTTCAAACCGCAGTTTTCTGCACAACACACACTGCCATCATCTAGATTCACCATGCAAAAGCACGAGCAGATCCAATGAGTAGTTGTTGATCATCGTAGTCAAGGTTGTAGTTGTTGATCATCGTAGTCAAGGTCTCCTTGCAGTGAATGTGGGATTGCCTGCCGAGCAAACAACTGTGTATTCGATAAAATTTTGGTTTGGTTGAAATAAAATGCGAGAATGTTTATTTTTCCTTGTTTGGAGCAGGATGCTGTTTGGAGTTGTCCAGCAAACAAGATATCCGCTATTGTGTCTGTCTCAATGCTATCACGGTTCAAATCTACCCAGGCGTCAAGCATGCAAGTAGCAACCTTGAATTGTAGATGATGTGAATCTGCACTTGCCCATTGTGTGGGTAGTTGTGAGTTTGAAGTGATTCATAGTTATTTGAACTTAGATTAAACAGCCGATGTGGTTTTGTGCCTGGAGAGTCTTGTCGACTTTGACTGTGACGAGGTTTGTAACCAGAAGAAGTTTTTGGCGCGTGTACAGTATTATACTCCCTTCGGTGCACGGTGCAGACACAGCTGATTTTGATGTTCCAGTGGAATATGTGCAGGCGTTTAGTGTAAAACAGCTCTAAATCTTTGGCATCATGAACTGATGCGCATTGCAGCTGTGCAGGAGTTCGTAGTATAAGTTGTTTTGTCTGTACTTGTATTATTTGCCCTATTCTTTCTCCATCCACAATGAAAGTTGAAGATAACATAGATATTTTATACAGTTTCTTGATCGAATAAACAGATCTCATTTTTATTACTCTTGGAGCATGACTCATTTGTGGAGACACTGTGACCTTCAGAGCATGTTGTCACCATATTAAGGTGGGACGCGAGTATTACAATATTCACTAGAGTGAGAAGATTATATCTGCGGCTCAGCGTCTCGTGTGTCGACCGCCTTCCACAATGTCATGAAGACAGCTTTATATGGTGTTATTGGCTAGAAGAATGAACATTTCCCAAAGTGGGAATTAAGAATACACAGTATCTTCAAACAAAATGAGCATCATAAACACATTTCTACTCTACATAAATATGTATCGTTCTACAGTAGAGCTTTGACCGCGATCCGCAATGCTCCTCCCATAGTATTGGGTATATATCTTGTTATAGCTGCATTAAAGATGATTAAGATGATTGTTCTCATTGTCAGCAGCAATATGGAATATATACACATATAACTAGCTGGCATACCCGGCTACGCCCGGGTTACATCTTTGAATTCAATAGTTTATCAATGTTCAAATAGCTTTACCTGGTATGATCTCTACGGCCTACGCAAAATGTTTTGCTTGCGAATTTAATCTAAATTTGAAGTTTTGAAAGTAGCTCAAATCTAATTAAAATCACGTAGTAAAAGCTTAGCAGTACGAATGGAATAAGGGTACAGATCTTATCGCGAAAATACAATAGTTCCATCTATTCTTGCTACTTTTACATTTCTGGTGAGATTTTCTGAAAAGGCGTGTTCATTTTACTTGATAGGTTTGCTCGACTACCACGAATGTACTATAATAGTATCACTCACATGAGAGCATTTTCATCCTCTAATCGGTTGCTTTCTATCTATTTCTAATGCTTCATCACAGAAAATTCAACAATGCCTCCATTTTCTGCTCCGCGAAGTGGACTGTGACAAAAGTGAGGGTAGCTTACAGTTTGTTTCCTTATGTCGCTACTGCAGTTCAATCCTTTAATATTCCCACGTATCACGACAAAGAACGTTTCTCTATTCATATAATCGAACATAACATTTCGTGGATAACTTTCAGTAATGCTGTAATCTTTGAGGCCATAGCTTAGATTCGCAACAGCAAATCCAATGCCTTTGACATAAAAGGCTTATCAGTTGTAGTGTCTCTTGCAATAGCACCACCGCTCCCGCGCCTGGCCTAACTTCTTCTGCGAACATGCTCTCTAATCATTTGCAATCAACTGAGGCTCTGCCTTTTCCACGCTTGCTGTGGGAAAGTGATCAGAGAGCATGTTCGCGAAAGAAGCGCAGAATCCAGGCAAGGCGGCCCGCGGAGGAGGTGAGCTGGTGCGCCCGATGCTGTAGTTGATAAGAATTGTACATGCTGAATTAGGAGACATTGAGTATTGGCGCCCATAATATTGCGGAAGGATGCTACATGCCTCAACGTAAGAGCATACTTCATTTTTATATAAGAGAACCTACTTTAGGTACATTTTTCACCGCGCTTTGCATGCAAAAAAAAAGAACTCAGAATGAGACTTGCCGCTAATCTTCACTTTCATTTGGACAATTGATTTGATAAACCCTTCATTTCCTAGATTTACGTAAATAAATCAATAAATCGATAGAACGACTTAGCGAATTGTTGTGAAAAAAGCCTATGTTCTGCGCCGTGGCTTATTTATATGGAAGCAAAATGCAGCTCAATCTGTCAACTTAAAGAGATTTCTAATAAAACACAAACATCTTTAGCAACTTACAGGCAAACTTTGAGTTTTATATATGTATAGATTACTAGCTGGCATACCCGACTCCGCCCGGCTCTATCAGAAACAATAAAGGTTCCATTCCTATCCCTGTACAACTTTTCCTGTGCCCACTTCTACATGCAATGTCCTATTTGTTAGTAATCAGATGCTCAGTTACCTCCCTCACTAATCCCCAGCCCCGTAGCTCAAACTTCGCAAAAAATTATTAAAACCGATAAAGGTACGGATAATTCTAAAAACTGATGGCGCTATTCGGCTAACCGGGCCCCAAAATGTTTTTGTGATGGATCTTGCTCAAACTCGGTATATGGGAGTTATTCCGGGCCGCTGATAACGAATATCGTAGTCGTTTCGCGAAATAGTGTCATTTTTTGGGTTTACGGTGGGTATACGTAAGATGCTCAAATCATGGATTTCGCTAAAATTTTGCTTGGGGGGGGGGGGGGCTAATTGACATGCTGATTATGAATATCAAACTCCTTCGGCATTTTGGAGCGTTTTCACTAAGTTATGGTAGGTATACTGCAGACTAAAACTCGGTCTAAAGAGATTCGACACCTTCCGACCACGATTAAAACACTCTCCTTGCGTTTTGAGACCTTTTCGCAGAGTTATGGTAGGTACATTGCAGCGGGTAAAAATCATGAACCTGCCTGAAACCTTGGAAGGATATTACCCAAATTTCACGCGCTTTCCAAAATCGACCAGTTCAGAAAGCAAAGGACTTTACAACCAAAGGACCCTATAACGTGCTGTATATTGCTTGAGAGAATCGTGCGATGTAAGGACTTTTTTCCGGAATACAGTGAAGCGGCTGAGCGGCTCGCTTGAAATTCGAAAAAGTGCGCCTTATACGCGTGAAATTAGGGTGTTGCTGTTTAAATGCTGTTTCAAGAAAGTCGAGCTTAATCCCTACGATAAGGGCAATTCTTGTGGTATAGGGGTTTCCCACAACCGTAATGCTTTCCTTATAGGACTAGTGTCGCGCGATCCACCCTTCGGCGGCTTTTAGAACGGGGGGGGGGGGGATTTGCCGCGTGCGTTACGCGTTGGGACGTTATCAGGATGGCGCTAGAGATCGCCCTGCGAAACGACCGTTCCTCCATTTCGTAAATATCTAGGATCTAAAATGGCTCGAAAGCAAAAAAAATGTCCATCCAAACCCTGCAACTCACCGTAACCACAACAATGCGTTATTACAGCGAGCAAGCATCATATTCATAAGCAGAATGATTGTAAACCGTTCCAGGTAAGGTTTTGAGCAAATCTGGAACTTCGACCCATTTACTGTACATCCACCTTTAACCCAAGAAAATGGCGCTATCCTGCGAAATCAGCATGATATTCATGTTCAGCGCACCAAATGACCACCCTAGACAAAGTTTAGAGCAAGTCCATGTTTTCGATCCCATACCGTATAAACACCATAACTCTAGCAAAAGGTATCAATATGCAGAGAGAATATGACATTCGTAATCAGCATGTCGAATAAGCCCTCACCGAATTCCAGCCGAGTTCACGATTTTGACTCCTTACCGTACACCTATCGTAACCACACGGAGATGTTCTGCGGAGAAAGTGTGGTACCTGTAATCAGTATGTAAAATAACCCTTATGGTTTAAGTTTGAGCAAGCTCTACGACAAAAAAATCTTGGGGCCTGGATAGCCGGCCAAACTAATATTGCACTCGTAATCAGCATGCTCGATTATCCCCTTGTGCCAACTCCCAGCCGCGTAGCCCAAACTCTGCAAAAAAATCGATAAAATCGACATCGATCGGTAACAAATGTAGCCTATGACCCCACCCGGTCCCGGAGTGTAAGTGTGCAAAATTTGGATCGGTTCAGAAATAAAATCTTCTATTCGGAACATACGTACATTATACATATATACACTATATACATACAGACAAACAGACATCAGCTTTATATATAAGATACCAGTCATTAAGAGATCTACAAAAAGGTATGATTTTTGCAGGACAAAGAACTAAAGTAGATTCATGTGCAGCATTGCTTTTTGGTTACATTCATGGCAAGGATATCAGACAGCTTCTTTTTTTGGTCAGAATTATGAAGCACCTTAGGCTTGCATCATATGCTAAACCTCAGCAAGTTCCAGAATCGAGTATTCCTTCGTTTTTCGACACTTACAATCCGTAGCCTGGCAGTCGCTATGCTACAAACCTCAGTGAGCGTATCCGGATCGATTTCGCTCTCACTTAGAACCTTCACCAATTCTCCCATACTCTTAACAAGTATAGTAATGCTTCGAACATAACGTGTTACAAACCTGAAGAGCTTTCTCGAGACTGCTCTCGCATTTCCTTGAAGTATTCAACTGCTCTTCCATACTCTAAACAGATATAGAATGGAAAACTGTCATATGGGAAACTAGCTGGCTTACCCGGCTCCGCCGTATCTGGACCAAACTTGGCACACATACACTTCGGGCCCCGGCAGGTGTCACAGTCCACTTTTCGTTATCGATCGATGTCGATTTTACCGATTTTTATCGATTTTTTTGCAGAGTTCACCTACAGGGCTAGGAGTTGGCACAGGGGGGAAGTGAGCATGGGGATTCCGAATACAATATTAGTTTTCAGGATTATTGATTACTTTTATTGATTTTATCGATTTTTTGTAAATTTTGACATGCGAGGCTGGGATTTTGCACAGGGGGGGTAATCGAGCATGCTGATTACGAACACAATATTAGTTTTCAGGATCGCCCATTACTTTTATCGATTTTATCGATTTTTTGAAATTTTGAGCTAGGGGGCTGGAATTTGGCACAGGGGTGTAATCGAGCATGCTGATCACCCCCCTTGGGGATGATCAGCATGCTCGATTACCCCCCTGTGCCAACTCCCAGCCCCGTAGCTCAAACTTTGCAAAAAATCGATAAAATCGATAAAAGTAATCGATAATCCTGAAAACCAATAATGTATTCGGAATCCCCATGCTCGATTACCCCCTGTGCCAACTCCCAGCCCCGTAGGTGAACTCAGCAAAAAAATCGATAAAAATCGATAAAATCGATATCGATCGATGACGAAAAGTAGCCTATGACACCCGCCGGGGCCCGAAGTGTATGTTGCCAAGTTTGGTCCGGATCGGTTCAGAAATGGAATTTTCTATTCGGAACATACGTACTCACAGACATACATACATACAGACAGACAGACAGACATACAAACAGACATTCAGCTTTATATCTTACCAGTCCAAAGCGCCGCTTCGCGGCGCTTTGGACTGGCTGTGTGTGTGAGGAATGGAGTGGGATGTGTCGAAAGTTTTGTGGCGTTAGAAGTCTTTATATGAGGAGTTGAGTAGGTATGCATGTATAAGTTTTGAAAAGATGTGGGAGACAGTAATCGAGGTGGAAGAATATTAAACCGACAAATGATCAAAAATATGCGAGTTTACTATATTCAAGAAAAACAGATTTAATGCAGGATGCATGGTTTCTCGTGATCCGACGTTCCTGATCTCGAGAAGACAAAGTGTGAGGGGCCGGGCACACTTCACACGATTTCAGTCGCGACGCGACTTGGCAATATTCCAACTGTCCACAACTCACTGTAAGCATATCTCAGATGTACAGAAATTTGCGCATTTTATCAATCCAAGTAAGTTATACATACCATACATGTGCAATTTGCTTGGTTGGATCTGAAGAGTTCTGGCGAATTGCCAAATTGCGTCGCGAGTGAAATCGCGTAAGTATGCCTGGCCCTTAAGACGAAAATTGTACGTTACCAAGACACAGGACTTGCGCGATGGATAAGTCTGTAGGCGAGAGCACCTGTAAGTTGGGTTTTGAAGCGTGTCAGAGAATACTGAAGCATATCAACAAAACCTACCATGCACTCTTTTAAGCCGTGAATTTTCCCTTTCTTCGCATAAGCAAAGGCACGTATAGCTTAAAAGCAAATCGTGTAAAGTGCACTGATTTTGCGGACTTGCCGTATCTTGCTTGCGAATGAGGTAGACGGGATAAACTGTAATTTGAAAAAATATTGAACCACAATCAATAAAACCCACCCTGCTCTGTTTTTTTGCGCTATGTTCTCTCTTGTTTGCGCATGGGTACGTACACGTACATGTTTGCTGAAAATGTGAATTAACGAAGTTTAATGACTTTGTTTTTTGCCATACCTTGCTTGCGGACTCTGTTGATCTTCTTGCAAGGAGCATGCAGGAAAACTGTGCATCGTGAAATAATAAATGGGCCGCAATGGCACAATCTTGATTTCGGCATATGATCTTTGAGCTTTGAACGCCGTTAGTTAAGGATTAATTGAGAACTGCTCTTATGACGACGTTCCTCACTCTTTCCTCTTTCTTATACACTTTGACTCCTTCTTTACTTCGACATCTCGATAAGGCGACGTATAATTGTCCATGTGAAAATATCTCCGTTCCAAGGGAGATACCCACTTTCGTGAAACTCTGGCCTTGAGCTTTATTTATTGTCATTGCAAATGACAAACGAACAGGAAATTGCGTCCTTCTCAATCGAAACGGTACACCTTTGTCTGTAAAGTTGTCGATACGTGGTATTAGGGCCCATTTTCCTTTCCGATCTCCTGATGCAAATCTACATCCCAGAACAAAACGTTTGAAGTGTGTGACAATCAGTCTTGTTCCATTGCACAATCCATTTCGAACATCAAGATTCCTCAAAAGCATGACTATAGCGCCTTCTTTTAACCTTAGTTTGTGTGGGGGCATTCCTGTTGGGGTGAGACTGTTGAGAAATTCGCTGGTAAAATCGTTTTGCGGTTCATCGCTAATCACATCGTCTACACTGTAGTATTCGTGAAGCTGTCCTGGGAGTTTATCCAAAACTCCTTCATTGATTTCATGTACGTCGATATTTCGAGGTGCCAGAATCGCACGTTCACTCAAAGTGTGGAAGTCTGTCAACAGATCACCGAAAACATCGTCTATGAGATTGCCATTAGAGACTATTTCTGCTGGAATCTCTATTCGTCCCATTTCGTCTTCTTCTACCTCTCCATTTCCAACTCTCATCAAAAAATCGCACCAAGAAGAGCCAGATTCTGCGGATCTCATGTTGACTGAAAGCTGATGCATGCGAAAAAACTCCCAGAGGTCGCTATTTTTTACGCATGCATCAACCATATCAGCATCCCTTCCACGCTCTATGATAGGCAACACCTGTCGGAAGTCCCCGCCCAAGACTACAGTCTTTCCTCCAAAATTCTTAGTGTTGCACATCAGATCCTGGAAAAGACGATCGATTGCCTCCAAAGAAAATTTTGAAACCATGCTGATTTCATCCCAGATGATTATATCTGCTTCTTTTAGAGGGATGGCCTCTTTAGATTCACGTCTCAATGTGCTCTCTCGATTTCCAGACCTCATATTCAACTTGAATGTTGAGCAGGCTGTCCTGCCTTCAGGTAACAAATTTGCTGCAATTCCTGTCCACGCGACACAGATGATAGACTTGTGTTTTCCTTTCAACACATGATATAGGCAATTGTAAAGATAGGTTTTTCCGCTGCCTCCAGGACCGTCGACAAAGTGTAGCTTAGACGCATCCGAATCAAAGGAAGCTAGAATACTGTCTGCGATTGATTTCTGCTGCCTATTGAGGCACTGATACATTTCCCTGCCTTTTTCCTCGTGAGAAGCGTAGTCAGTTTGGTCCTGTAGTACTGGTCGAATGTGTGTAGGTGGAGTGATACTGGCAGGAAGGTCGTAACGCAGTATTTGCAGTCTATCATATAGATCGTAGTACGCAAGTGCTTCTGCATCAGATGCTGTAGCTCCCCCATGACTAAAATCTTCAGCCATGTCAGCCTTGAAGCGATCATATAAGTGTCGTGGATCAGACATTTCACAGAACGCCAGCATATAACTAAACAACGCCCTTAATTGCGCAGGCATTTGAAACTGAGTAGCTTCCTCCAAACAGCTCTCGTAATGGGAATCGTCACGCAGAAATCCCAAAGCTCTCGCTGCATCTAGAAATGTAGAATGCACATTACCTTCGACAGTGCGAAGGTCCTCGAAAGAATGCATGTTCTTCCGATGAAGGAGCAAAATACGTAGAGCAAATCTCTCTGGTTCTGCGGGAGACACCATATACATGCGTCCAATCTGGCGACTTCCTCTTCCCCTTCTTTTCCATTTACGTGCGTTCACAAAAGTGAAGTGCTCAGGCAGCTGATGGTAGCAAAGATTGCGAGCATCTACACCATCACATATAATGTTCTGATTTTCCATAAGCTCGTATTCGATGTTAAGCTTGAACCAAGCTGTTAACATGGAGTCTTTGCTTGCCTCGCGTTCTGCTGCTTCTCGTTCCCCACCTGACTGAAAAGTCACCAACTGGAAGTCGGGAAGGTGTACGGGAAGGCGGTAAACAGTAGCGGATTTAAATTGGCTTCCGAACATGAAAATGTGATGAAGTGCTTCTGGCGAGCATACGTAGCGAGCGTCCAGGTGAGCTCTTATCTCGTCAGATTGTCGGATGGGATCCTGCTGCAGCAATCGTAAAGCAGCTCGATCCGGACCTTTGTATACGTACTTATAAAGGTACTTGACCGCTTGCACGTAACCGCAAATCTCAAGATTTATGTGTGCGTTTAAAAGCAGCAACAGATACCGATCATAAGGCACAACGTGCCTGTTGTCGAACGTTTCGTCTCTAATCGTTACTGTGCGGCCGTCATCAGGCCTTTTATAGTTGGGGTAACCGTTTACATCAACGTCAGTTGTGTCTCGAAACTCCTTTGGGAACCGTTTTGAGCACTCTCCATTCACCATGCAAGGTGCATTCAAATTGGTTGTCCCACACCGACGGTGGATCATGTTCCTTGCTACTATGCTGAGAAGACGGGGACTATCTGTGACACTTGGAAGACACGCCTGAACTGCTGCATCAACATTCTCGCTGGTCCTTGGCTTCGAATCTGCGGCCATGATGAGAAGCATATGGCAATGAGGAAGACCTCGTTTTTGCCACTCTACGATCCCAACGTAAGCTGCTACACGCCCTAAGACCTTCTTTTCAAATAAATGATCTTGCAGGACTTCCAGTTTCCGGTTGAATACGCGGGTCACCAAATCAGGTCGATCGGACGAACATTGGCCTGGATGCAAATTCTCGGTTATTTCTTTCCATTTAGGATTGCAAGTAAACGTTAAGAAATAGTCGGGCTTTCCGTATTTTGCCACAATGGCCATCGCGTCTTGATAAGCCTGATGCATGGCGCGGGGGCTGCCTTGAAATGAAGACGGTAGAATTATCCGTTGACCTGAAGGTCCGTCTGTATCATCTCTAGCCAAGTGATCCATAAGCCCTTTGTAGCTATCGACTCGAAGTTCCTTCTGATGTGTTCGGGCATAATTTAGTCTATTTTGTTCAATCTTCACATATGCATCAACGACGAATTGCTGCATAAGTTTCCCGGCAAAATGAAGTGGATTGAAAGACCGGCGCACTGCAAGCAAATTCGAGTAAAACTCGCGCTGACTTATTCTTGTCCGGATGCGCGTGCTCGGGTTCTTTTTCAGGTCAACATGCCACCCCTGTCCTCCCCTAGGAAATATCAAAGGGTAAGTTAACGGGTCGCAGCAACCGTCAATGTCTCGAATTTTTTTCAAACTACCTCCTCTGTAATGGATTGCTAGAGAGCGAGTTGCCGGAACATCGTTGTCTTCTCCTACGTAGACAACAGCGATCTCGCTTGAAGCGGGGACATTGTACCGACGACGATCCAAACTACCGCCTTCATCAAAAACCATGCGAATTGTTGGTATTTGCCTTTTTTCAATGAGAGCTCGTTGTTCTTCTTCTGCAGCCACCTCTCCCATCATTTTGATTGATGCAGCATAACTGTTGTGGGAGTGCAACCAAGATGATAACTGCTGCATCACAGTTGCATTACAATTTGCATTAGCTGGGTTTCCAATTCTTTCGGCAGCTGCAGCGTCCGTGTCTAGTATATATATTTGTCCGAATTGTGGACGAAGTCCTTTTTCTGGTCTCGCGGGACCGACGTAATGGTATACTTGGCCGTGGATTCGGTAGCAGTAAGGTCCGAAGCCACGAGGAGTGTCCACTTGTGCACCCATTGAAGCCATGGCAAGGGCACTGTTATAAGACCGAATATGCATACGGAAATTCTTCGAGAGGTCACTTGTTCCAGTGTATAGGGAAAAGAAAAGCTCCGGGAAATTTGAAAATAGATCCAGAGAGATGTTTCCAAAATTGCAACACATATTGAAGCAACCGTTCCTAGGTTTAGCCTCGCCAGGAAAATAGAGAGCTGCGCAGTGATTGCAGCTCACATTGAGAACTCCTAAGTAGTTTTCCGCTATGTTATTCCCAGTCAAAGCTATGCCGAAGTTGGGAGGCGATCTGCGGCAACGCTGTTCATTGCCCCGAGTTAACCTCATCTAAAACATTGCTTTACTCAATTAGCGCAACGGTTTCATGTGACCCGACCTGAATCGTAGACTGCTCTGTAGTTGTATTCAAAGACTCACTGAACGCAGTTCTTGGAGGAGGATACTTGAAATACTAAGTGATTTCACTCAAAACATGTGCATAACCCAAGCTCACCACAGTTCCCCATGTAGTCGAAGAGATCTCACTGGGAAGTAGTGTAACCTCGCAATCTTGGTGCCCTCTACGTACTGAACTTCGGTGAGTTGTGAAATTAAGACTATTCTCATCTACGTCATTCAAGTTTACTTCCAGTGCACGAGGGGCCTGTACAAAACGTGGATTAAGTGCAGCATTTAAGCTTTTCTAAAGAGGTTTTGTTGCTATATACCTGCGAAGTCAAATCCTGCAAGAGCACAGTGGACGCAATCGTTGGAGTCCTCGCAAAGTTGCTCTGAACAAAAAAAAGTCATAGGACTTTAGATATCTGAGTTTGCTAGATCCACAAACATAGAAAACTCATCAAAACCATTTAAAAAAAGTAGTAATTACTTCATTGTTAGTGGAATTCGATTCTTCAATCTGTGAGGTTTTCAATATGCGTTGGTTGAGGATTGTGCTAGTACTCTCTTGCTCAAATAGCTCAAGCGATGTTAATTCGCCCTGAATCCAAAACGTAAAGCCTTCAAGCAATCTCTCGTTTTTGAAAACCTCATCTGCCATTTCCTCTATAGATATATCGCTAGAAAGATATGAAGAATTTGCACCCGGAACGTTTTCCTGTAAATTATATGTTGTAATCGAAACTTTCCAGTATATGAACTAACCACGACTTCGAAATTGTTTAAAATGGAAGTACTCGGAACGCAATCTTTTTCTCCTGATTGCTGTGATCGAGGACGCTTCCGAGATTTTTGCGCAGTGTCTCTACGAGATACTGCCACAGGCTGTGCTTGCATGGTATCCACTCCTGTATGTGACCTTAGTAGCCGCTTCTCAGCAGTAGCAGCCGCTCTTCTTTTTTTACTTCTTTCAGCCTCTCTAGCAAGGCGGTCGGCTCTGCTCTCTTCGTCTTTAGCCACGTTCCTCAGTCTGGCCCTTTCTGCATTGACTGCGAGGCGTAGCTTGCGCTCGCTTTCAGTTTCATTGGATTTCCTCAAAGCTGCTCGTTGTACATCAGCAGCAAGACGTAGATCGCGCGCAGCTTGGGTTTCTGTAGATCTTCTATGTGCTTCCTTTTCAGCTTTCGTTAAGAAGCGATGTGACTCCTTTTTCCGTGACTCCAAATTTGAAGTTGTGGCGTTGCTTCCACCCAACTGCTGCTTAGAGCCTATCTAAAACGTTATCATGCGAGAGTTTATGATTAGCTGCCACAAATATTACCTGATCCGCCAAGCAGGTTTGAAGGTCCTCTTGTACTAAATTACTGGAAAGCAGTGTGGAATTTCCGCTGTCATCGCTGTAGTGTGAAGCTGATGTCTGGATTTGTTACATGAGTTTTAAGAAAATGTTTTGATCATAGAATGACAACACCTGATTTGTCACACGACTTGTGGACATAATGGGAAATTGAGAAGGAAGAGATAAACATGAAGGAGTTTCCTGAAAAAAGGTTCCTAAAATTTCGAAAGCTCCGAAGATGCATGATCCATCCGCTTAGAATTTTTCTGGACGTATCATACCTGCAGTGCAGTTATGTCTTCCATGGCTTGCAGTCGAGATTGCTGCCGCTTAGGGGGTGCATTTGATAGTACTAAATGCAAACTTGCAGTGTTATGATTAGACAGTTGGTATTTTATCCTAATCGAAGCTTTTTGTGAAAATGTGCATAATTAATCAGAACAAATTCTAAAGCGGTTAACACCTAAGAACGTTTTTTAAGCAGAGTGATGCAGACTTGCGGAAGCAATTTAGATTCGTAAAGCACCTAATGCATGAAAAACCGAGATTTTGGGAACAATGTTTACAGTTTTTTCAAAGTGCATTATCAGAGAACTTTAAAAGAAGAATCTTCGTTTGATTGTAGAGAAAATCATATTATATATGAAGAGCATACTCACAAAATTAGATTAAAAGACATGTAAAATCCTAAAAACCGAGAATTTTCTGCAATATTCGAAGCGCACGGTGAAAACTACATGGAATAAAATGCACTCCGTGAAACATTTTGAATAGTTAACCTTTGTGCCATGAATGAGGTTTGTGAACACCGCTTGAATGGCGCTTTGGATTTTAGACATGCCCAACATCTGTCTGATTCAAGAATTCATCTCAAACATGTCTCTTGCACAGAGTTTATTGTTTCCAGATCTTTCGAGTGAGCGCATTTGTCGACATTGTGAAAAATATCCAAAAAGAGATTTGTCAGTTTTTTTGAGTTGATTAACACCGATTATGCATTGAACAAATAGCGAAAAATTGGAACATCTGGCTGAGTCTCGTAAATATAATATATCTTTGTAGCAAACAGTAAAACTGATCGAGTGAAGTGCTCACGTCTACATTAGTAGAGATCACACCTGAAGAAAGAGAAACAGAACGGTATAGATCCATCAAAAACGGTTTTTCGCAACGTTTTCTGAATAAGAAAGGTGATGAAGCACTTGAAATTCGAAAAACTGCAACTACTCCGCTAAAACATCTGACAGATTCTTTTGGATGGCATAGGCATTGCAAACAAAGAAATATATGGAGAAGTTAGAAAAATTCAAACTTTTTTGCTGAGATATGTTGGCAGAAATATTATAGAAAATAGAATGAATCTATCGAGTAAAGATCTGGCGCAGCTGTTTTACGATCAGGAAAGATGCTACTTACAGACTATCGTGAACCAAAGGACAAAAATGAACTAAAAAACAATGCAATTTTTGCATGCATTGCAAGAACGAAACAGAGACAGTAAAACAAATTCTTAAGGGAATGGGTGCTATGCAATAGGATAATCCAAACCAACTCAGTCAAAAAAATTCTAAGCAGAGATTGTCAGGAAAAAATATTACCGATTTCGAGTGATTTCCAAAAACGGATTTAGTGCAGTTTGCCTACGATAAAAACATTTACTAAGCATTTTTTGGAGAAGCTGAAAATTTCGACTTCCTTGCTGAAATATGTTGGCAGAAAAATTGAAGAAAGGAATAAATTCATTGAATAAAAATTTGGCGCGATTGTTTTACGATTAGGAAACATAAATGAAATATGAGAAACCTGCAATATTTTGGTGAAATGTCTATCTCTACATGGTGCACTCATAATCACGCTCCAAAATAGAGATAGAGAAGTTTGAGATGCCAAAGGAAGGAGGAAATAGATCTACAACAAATTCGGCGCCGCTTTGGAACTTAAAAATGCTAATTATTTGCCATTCATATACAGCATGATTCTGAAACGCTCTGCAAGTTATCGTGAACCAAAGCACAGAAGAATGATCTATAAAAGCAATGCAAATTTTTCAAGCATTTTTGCGAGAGCGAATCAGACGTAATGCAACAAATTCTTGCTGCGTGAAATTTGGGCATTTTTTGACCTTGGATTTGAAGAATGGACAAAAAAACTACGATCAATTTCTAAATTCGTAATTGGATTGTGTAAGTTTCTAGTTCATGAATTTTTGCATTTAAATTCGCAATCTTTTATGGTAATGTTTGAGGAATACAAAGATTTTAGTCAAATTGTCAACTAACCTGTTCCAATTCGGTTGAAGTCGAGTTGCTCTTGTAAAACGTTGGAGCAATTGAAACTATACGAAAGTTAGCTTGTCTGGTGACTTCGTGGGTTATGCCACTTGATCAACAGGACTTTAGATATCTGAGTTTGCTAGATCCACAAACATAGAAAACTCATCAAAACCATTTAAAAAAAGTACTAATTACTTCATTGTTAGTGGAATTCGATTCTTCAATCTGTGAGGTTTTCAATATGCGTTGGTTGAGGATTGTGCTAGTACTCTCTTGCTCAAATAGCTCAAGCGATGTTAATTCGCCCTGAATCCAAAACGTAAAGCCTTCAAGCAATTTCTCGTTTTTGAAAACCTCATCTGCCATTTCCTCTATAGATATATCGCTAGAAAGATATGAAGAATTTGCACCCGGAACGTTTTCCTGTAAATTATATGTTGTAATCGAAACTTTCCAGTATATGAACTAACCACGACTTCGAAATTGTTTAAAATGGAAGTACTCGGAACGCAATCTTTTTCTCCTGATTGCTGTGATCGAGGACGCTTCCGAGATTTTTGCGCAGTGTCTCTACGAGATACTGCCACAGGCTGTGCTTGCATGGTATCCACTCCTGTATGTGACCTTAGTAGCCGCTTCTCAGCAGTAGCAGCCGCTCTTCTTTTTTTACTTCTTTCAGCCTCTCTAGCAAGGCGGTCGGCTCTGCTCTCTTCGTCTTTAGCCACGTTCCTCAGTCTGGCCCTTTCTGCATTGACTGCGAGGCGTAGCTTGCGCTCGCTTTCAGTTTCATTGGATTTCCTCAAAGCTGCTCGTTGTACATCAGCAGCAAGACGTAGATCGCGCGCAGCTTGGGTTTCTGTAGATCTTCTATGTGCTTCCTTTTCAGCTTTCGTTAAGAAGCGATGTGACTCCTTTTTCCGTGACTCCAAATTTGAAGTTGTGGCGTTGCTTCCACCCAACTGCTGCTTAGAGCCTATCTAAAACGTTATCATGCGAGAGTTTATGATTAGCTGCCACAAATATTACCTGATCCGCCAAGCAGGTTTGAAGGTCCTCTTGTACTAAATTACTGGAAAGCAGTGTGGAATTTCCGCTGTCATCGCTGTAGTGTGAAGCTGATGTCTGGATTTGTTACATGAGTTTTAAGAAAATGTTTTGATCATAGAATGACAACACCTGATTTGTCACACGACTTGTGGACATAATGGGAAATTGAGAAGGAAGAGATAAACATGAAGGAGTTTCCTGAAAAAAGGTTCCTAAAATTTCGAAAGCTCCGAAGATGCATGATCCATCCGCTTAGAATTTTTCTGGACGTATCATACCTGCAGTGCAGTTATGTCTTCCATGGCTTGCAGTCGAGATTGCTGCCGCTTAGGGGGTGCATTTGATAGTACTAAATGCAAACTTGCAGTGTTATGATTAGACAGTTGGTATTTTATCCTAATCGAAGCTTTTTGTGAAAATGTGCATAATTAATCAGAACAAATTCTAAAGCGGTTAACACCTAAGAACGTTTTTTAAGCAGAGTGATGCAGACTTGCGGAAGCAATTTAGATTCGTAAAGCACCTAATGCATGAAAAACCGAGATTTTGGGAACAATGTTTACAGTTTTTTCAAAGTGCATTATCAGAGAACTTTAAAAGAAGAATCTTCGTTTGATTGTAGAGAAAATCATATTATATATGAAGAGCATACTCACAAAATTAGATTAAAAGACATGTAAAATCCTAAAAACCGAGAATTTTCTGCAATATTCGAAGCGCACGGTGAAAACTACATGGAATAAAATGCACTCCGTGAAACATTTTGAATAGTTAACCTTTGTGCCATGAATGAGGTTTGTGAACACCGCTTGAATGGCGCTTTGGATTTTAGACATGCCCAACATCTGTCTGATTCAAGAATTCATCTCAAACATGTCTCTTGCACAGAGTTTATTGTTTCCAGATCTTTCGAGTGAGCGCATTTGTCGACATTGTGAAAAATATCCAAAAAGAGATTTGTCAGTTTTTTTGAGTTGATTAACACCGATTATGCATTGAACAAATAGCGAAAAATTGGAACATCTGGCTGAGTCTCGTAAATATAATATATCTTTGTAGCAAACAGTAAAACTGATCGAGTGAAGTGCTCACGTCTACATTAGTAGAGATCACACCTGAAGAAAGAGAAACAGAACGGTATAGATCCATCAAAAACGGTTTTTCGCAACGTTTTCTGAATAAGAAAGGTGATGAAGCACTTGAAATTCGAAAAACTGCAACTACTCCGCTAAAACATCTGACAGATTCTTTTGGATGGCATAGGCATTGCAAACAAAGAAATATATGGAGAAGTTAGAAAAATTCAAACTTTTTTGCTGAGATATGTTGGCAGAAATATTATAGAAAATAGAATGAATCTATCGAGTAAAGATCTGGCGCAGCTGTTTTACGATCAGGAAAGATGCTACTTACAGACTATCGTGAACCAAAGGACAAAAATGAACTAAAAAACAATGCAATTTTTGCATGCATTGCAAGAACGAAACAGAGACAGTAAAACAAATTCTTAAGGGAATGGGTGCTATGCAATAGGATAATCCAAACCAACTCAGTCAAAAAAATTCTAAGCAGAGATTGTCAGGAAAAAATATTACCGATTTCGAGTGATTTCCAAAAACGGATTTAGTGCAGTTTGCCTACGATAAAAACATTTACTAAGCATTTTTTGGAGAAGCTGAAAATTTCGACTTCCTTGCTGAAATATGTTGGCAGAAAAATTGAAGAAAGGAATAAATTCATTGAATAAAAATTTGGCGCGATTGTTTTACGATTAGGAAACATAAATGAAATATGAGAAACCTGCAATATTTTGGTGAAATGTCTATCTCTACATGGTGCACTCATAATCACGCTCCAAAATAGAGATAGAGAAGTTTGAGATGCCAAAGGAAGGAGGAAATAGATCTACAACAAATTCGGCGCCGCTTTGGAACTTAAAAATGCTAATTATTTGCCATTCATATACAGCATGATTCTGAAACGCTCTGCAAGTTATCGTGAACCAAAGCACAGAAGAATGATCTATAAAAGCAATGCAAATTTTTCAAGCATTTTTGCGAGAGCGAATCAGACGTAATGCAACAAATTCTTGCTGCGTGAAATTTGGGCATTTTTTGACCTTGGATTTGAAGAATGGACAAAAAAACTACGATCAATTTCTAAATTCGTAATTGGATTGTGTAAGTTTCTAGTTCATGAATTTTTGCATTTAAATTCGCAATCTTTTATGGTAATGTTTGAGGAATACAAAGATTTTAGTCAAATTGTCAACTAACCTGTTCCAATTCGGTTGAAGTCGAGTTGCTCTTGTAAAACGTTGGAGCAATTGAAACTATACGAAAGTTAGCTTGTCTGGTGACTTCGTGGGTTATGCCACTTGATCAACAGGACTTTAGATATCTGAGTTTGCTAGATCCACAAACATAGAAAACTCATCAAAACCATTTAAAAAAAGTACTAATTACTTCATTGTTAGTGGAATTCGATTCTTCAATCTGTGAGGTTTTCAATATGCGTTGGTTGAGGATTGTGCTAGTACTCTCTTGCTCAAATAGCTCAAGCGATGTTAATTCGCCCTGAATCCAAAACGTAAAGCCTTCAAGCAATTTCTCGTTTTTGAAAACCTCATCTGCCATTTCCTCTATAGATATATCGCTAGAAAGATATGAAGAATTTGCACCCGGAACGTTTTCCTGTAAATTATATGTTGTAATCGAAACTTTCCAGTATATGAACTAACCACGACTTCGAAATTGTTTAAAATGGAAGTACTCGGAACGCAATCTTTTTCTCCTGATTGCTGTGATCGAGGACGCTTCCGAGATTTTTGCGCAGTGTCTCTACGAGATACTGCCACAGGCTGTGCTTGCATGGTATCCACTCCTGTATGTGACCTTAGTAGCCGCTTCTCAGCAGTAGCAGCCGCTCTTCTTTTTTTACTTCTTTCAGCCTCTCTAGCAAGGCGGTCGGCTCTGCTCTCTTCGTCTTTAGCCACGTTCCTCAGTCTGGCCCTTTCTGCATTGACTGCGAGGCGTAGCTTGCGCTCGCTTTCAGTTTCATTGGATTTCCTCAAAGCTGCTCGTTGTACATCAGCAGCAAGACGTAGATCGCGCGCAGCTTGGGTTTCTGTAGATCTTCTATGTGCTTCCTTTTCAGCTTTCGTTAAGAAGCGATGTGACTCCTTTTTCCGTGACTCCAAATTTGAAGTTGTGGCGTTGCTTCCACCCAACTGCTGCTTAGAGCCTATCTAAAACGTTATCATGCGAGAGTTTATGATTAGCTGCCACAAATATTACCTGATCCGCCAAGCAGGTTTGAAGGTCCTCTTGTACTAAATTACTGGAAAGCAGTGTGGAATTTCCGCTGTCATCGCTGTAGTGTGAAGCTGATGTCTGGATTTGTTACATGAGTTTTAAGAAAATGTTTTGATCATAGAATGACAACACCTGATTTGTCACACGACTTGTGGACATAATGGGAAATTGAGAAGGAAGAGATAAACATGAAGGAGTTTCCTGAAAAAAGGTTCCTAAAATTTCGAAAGCTCCGAAGATGCATGATCCATCCGCTTAGAATTTTTCTGGACGTATCATACCTGCAGTGCAGTTATGTCTTCCATGGCTTGCAGTCGAGATTGCTGCCGCTTAGGGGGTGCATTTGATAGTACTAAATGCAAACTTGCAGTGTTATGATTAGACAGTTGGTATTTTATCCTAATCGAAGCTTTTTGTGAAAATGTGCATAATTAATCAGAACAAATTCTAAAGCGGTTAACACCTAAGAACGTTTTTTAAGCAGAGTGATGCAGACTTGCGGAAGCAATTTAGATTCGTAAAGCACCTAATGCATGAAAAACCGAGATTTTGGGAACAATGTTTACAGTTTTTTCAAAGTGCATTATCAGAGAACTTTAAAAGAAGAATCTTCGTTTGATTGTAGAGAAAATCATATTATATATGAAGAGCATACTCACAAAATTAGATTAAAAGACATGTAAAATCCTAAAAACCGAGAATTTTCTGCAATATTCGAAGCGCACGGTGAAAACTACATGGAATAAAATGCACTCCGTGAAACATTTTGAATAGTTAACCTTTGTGCCATGAATGAGGTTTGTGAACACCGCTTGAATGGCGCTTTGGATTTTAGACATGCCCAACATCTGTCTGATTCAAGAATTCATCTCAAACATGTCTCTTGCACAGAGTTTATTGTTTCCAGATCTTTCGAGTGAGCGCATTTGTCGACATTGTGAAAAATATCCAAAAAGAGATTTGTCAGTTTTTTTGAGTTGATTAACACCGATTATGCATTGAACAAATAGCGAAAAATTGGAACATCTGGCTGAGTCTCGTAAATATAATATATCTTTGTAGCAAACAGTAAAACTGATCGAGTGAAGTGCTCACGTCTACATTAGTAGAGATCACACCTGAAGAAAGAGAAACAGAACGGTATAGATCCATCAAAAACGGTTTTTCGCAACGTTTTCTGAATAAGAAAGGTGATGAAGCACTTGAAATTCGAAAAACTGCAACTACTCCGCTAAAACATCTGACAGATTCTTTTGGATGGCATAGGCATTGCAAACAAAGAAATATATGGAGAAGTTAGAAAAATTCAAACTTTTTTGCTGAGATATGTTGGCAGAAATATTATAGAAAATAGAATGAATCTATCGAGTAAAGATCTGGCGCAGCTGTTTTACGATCAGGAAAGATGCTACTTACAGACTATCGTGAACCAAAGGACAAAAATGAACTAAAAAACAATGCAATTTTTGCATGCATTGCAAGAACGAAACAGAGACAGTAAAACAAATTCTTAAGGGAATGGGTGCTATGCAATAGGATAATCCAAACCAACTCAGTCAAAAAAATTCTAAGCAGAGATTGTCAGGAAAAAATATTACCGATTTCGAGTGATTTCCAAAAACGGATTTAGTGCAGTTTGCCTACGATAAAAACATTTACTAAGCATTTTTTGGAGAAGCTGAAAATTTCGACTTCCTTGCTGAAATATGTTGGCAGAAAAATTGAAGAAAGGAATAAATTCATTGAATAAAAATTTGGCGCGATTGTTTTACGATTAGGAAACATAAATGAAATATGAGAAACCTGCAATATTTTGGTGAAATGTCTATCTCTACATGGTGCACTCATAATCACGCTCCAAAATAGAGATAGAGAAGTTTGAGATGCCAAAGGAAGGAGGAAATAGATCTACAACAAATTCGGCGCCGCTTTGGAACTTAAAAATGCTAATTATTTGCCATTCATATACAGCATGATTCTGAAACGCTCTGCAAGTTATCGTGAACCAAAGCACAGAAGAATGATCTATAAAAGCAATGCAAATTTTTCAAGCATTTTTGCGAGAGCGAATCAGACGTAATGCAACAAATTCTTGCTGCGTGAAATTTGGGCATTTTTTGACCTTGGATTTGAAGAATGGACAAAAAAACTACGATCAATTTCTAAATTCGTAATTGGATTGTGTAAGTTTCTAGTTCATGAATTTTTGCATTTAAATTCGCAATCTTTTATGGTAATGTTTGAGGAATACAAAGATTTTAGTCAAATTGTCAACTAACCTGTTCCAATTCGGTTGAAGTCGAGTTGCTCTTGTAAAACGTTGGAGCAATTGAAACTATACGAAAGTTAGCTTGTCTGGTGACTTCGTGGGTTATGCCACTTGATCAACAGGACTTTAGATATCTGAGTTTGCTAGATCCACAAACATAGAAAACTCATCAAAACCATTTAAAAAAAGTACTAATTACTTCATTGTTAGTGGAATTCGATTCTTCAATCTGTGAGGTTTTCAATATGCGTTGGTTGAGGATTGTGCTAGTACTCTCTTGCTCAAATAGCTCAAGCGATGTTAATTCGCCCTGAATCCAAAACGTAAAGCCTTCAAGCAATTTCTCGTTTTTGAAAACCTCATCTGCCATTTCCTCTATAGATATATCGCTAGAAAGATATGAAGAATTTGCACCCGGAACGTTTTCCTGTAAATTATATGTTGTAATCGAAACTTTCCAGTATATGAACTAACCACGACTTCGAAATTGTTTAAAATGGAAGTACTCGGAACGCAATCTTTTTCTCCTGATTGCTGTGATCGAGGACGCTTCCGAGATTTTTGCGCAGTGTCTCTACGAGATACTGCCACAGGCTGTGCTTGCATGGTATCCACTCCTGTATGTGACCTTAGTAGCCGCTTCTCAGCAGTAGCAGCCGCTCTTCTTTTTTTACTTCTTTCAGCCTCTCTAGCAAGGCGGTCGGCTCTGCTCTCTTCGTCTTTAGCCACGTTCCTCAGTCTGGCCCTTTCTGCATTGACTGCGAGGCGTAGCTTGCGCTCGCTTTCAGTTTCATTGGATTTCCTCAAAGCTGCTCGTTGTACATCAGCAGCAAGACGTAGATCGCGCGCAGCTTGGGTTTCTGTAGATCTTCTATGTGCTTCCTTTTCAGCTTTCGTTAAGAAGCGATGTGACTCCTTTTTCCGTGACTCCAAATTTGAAGTTGTGGCGTTGCTTCCACCCAACTGCTGCTTAGAGCCTATCTAAAACGTTATCATGCGAGAGTTTATGATTAGCTGCCACAAATATTACCTGATCCGCCAAGCAGGTTTGAAGGTCCTCTTGTACTAAATTACTGGAAAGCAGTGTGGAATTTCCGCTGTCATCGCTGTAGTGTGAAGCTGATGTCTGGATTTGTTACATGAGTTTTAAGAAAATGTTTTGATCATAGAATGACAACACCTGATTTGTCACACGACTTGTGGACATAATGGGAAATTGAGAAGGAAGAGATAAACATGAAGGAGTTTCCTGAAAAAAGGTTCCTAAAATTTCGAAAGCTCCGAAGATGCATGATCCATCCGCTTAGAATTTTTCTGGACGTATCATACCTGCAGTGCAGTTATGTCTTCCATGGCTTGCAGTCGAGATTGCTGCCGCTTAGGGGGTGCATTTGATAGTACTAAATGCAAACTTGCAGTGTTATGATTAGACAGTTGGTATTTTATCCTAATCGAAGCTTTTTGTGAAAATGTGCATAATTAATCAGAACAAATTCTAAAGCGGTTAACACCTAAGAACGTTTTTTAAGCAGAGTGATGCAGACTTGCGGAAGCAATTTAGATTCGTAAAGCACCTAATGCATGAAAAACCGAGATTTTGGGAACAATGTTTACAGTTTTTTCAAAGTGCATTATCAGAGAACTTTAAAAGAAGAATCTTCGTTTGATTGTAGAGAAAATCATATTATATATGAAGAGCATACTCACAAAATTAGATTAAAAGACATGTAAAATCCTAAAAACCGAGAATTTTCTGCAATATTCGAAGCGCACGGTGAAAACTACATGGAATAAAATGCACTCCGTGAAACATTTTGAATAGTTAACCTTTGTGCCATGAATGAGGTTTGTGAACACCGCTTGAATGGCGCTTTGGATTTTAGACATGCCCAACATCTGTCTGATTCAAGAATTCATCTCAAACATGTCTCTTGCACAGAGTTTATTGTTTCCAGATCTTTCGAGTGAGCGCATTTGTCGACATTGTGAAAAATATCCAAAAAGAGATTTGTCAGTTTTTTTGAGTTGATTAACACCGATTATGCATTGAACAAATAGCGAAAAATTGGAACATCTGGCTGAGTCTCGTAAATATAATATATCTTTGTAGCAAACAGTAAAACTGATCGAGTGAAGTGCTCACGTCTACATTAGTAGAGATCACACCTGAAGAAAGAGAAACAGAACGGTATAGATCCATCAAAAACGGTTTTTCGCAACGTTTTCTGAATAAGAAAGGTGATGAAGCACTTGAAATTCGAAAAACTGCAACTACTCCGCTAAAACATCTGACAGATTCTTTTGGATGGCATAGGCATTGCAAACAAAGAAATATATGGAGAAGTTAGAAAAATTCAAACTTTTTTGCTGAGATATGTTGGCAGAAATATTATAGAAAATAGAATGAATCTATCGAGTAAAGATCTGGCGCAGCTGTTTTACGATCAGGAAAGATGCTACTTACAGACTATCGTGAACCAAAGGACAAAAATGAACTAAAAAACAATGCAATTTTTGCATGCATTGCAAGAACGAAACAGAGACAGTAAAACAAAGTCTCAAGGGAATGGGTGCTATGCAATAGGATAATCCAAACCAACTCAGTCAAAAAAATTCTAAGCAGAGATTGTCAGGAAAAAATATTACCGATTTCGAGTGATTTCCAAAAACGGATTTAGTGCAGTTTGCCTACGATAAAAACATTTACTAAGCATTTTTTGGAGAAGCTGAAAATTTCGACTTCCTTGCTGAAATATGTTGGCAGAAAAATTGAAGAAAGGAATAAATTCATTGAATAAAAATTTGGCGCGATTGTTTTACGATTAGGAAACATAAATGAAATATGAGAAACCTGCAATATTTTGGTGAAATGTCTATCTCTACATGGTGCACTCATAATCACGCTCCAAAATAGAGATAGAGAAGTTTGAGATGCCAAAGGAAGGAGGAAATAGATCTACAACAAATTCGGCGCCGCTTTGGAACTTAAAAATGCTAATTATTTGCCATTCATATACAGCATGATTCTGAAACGCTCTGCAAGTTATCGTGAACCAAAGCACAGAAAAATGATCTATAAAAGCAATGCAAATTTTTCAAGCATTTTTGCGAGAGCGAATCAGACGTAATGCAACAAATTCTTGCTGCGTGAAATTTGGGCATTTTTTGACCTTGGATTTGAAGAATGGACAAAAAAACTACAATCAATTTCTAAATTCGTAATTGGATTGTGTAAGTTTCTAGTTCATGAATTTTTGCATTTAAATTCGCAATCTTTTATGGTAATGTTTGAGGAATACAAAGATTTTAGTCAAATTGTCAACTAACCTGTTCCAATTCGGTTGAAGTCGAGTTGCTCTTGTAAAACGTTGGAGCAATTGAAACTATACGAAAGTTAGCTTGTCTGGTGACTTCGTGGGTTATGCCACTTGATCAACATTGTGATTGCACTTTTTGGGTTATGCCACTTGATCAACATCGTCTGAGACAGGCATCACTGTCGCTATGAGCCATCAGCTCGGTACGCTCGCACCGGCACAGAACGATGGTCGGTTGTTTACACCACTGGCGCGAGCGATGACGTCAGATGGGGGTGCTTGCGCTTTATATATAGTATGATATATAAAGCTGAATGTCTGTTTGTCTGTATGTCTGTCTGTCTGTCTGTCTGTCTGTCTGTCTGTCTGTGTGTACGTATGTTCCGAATAGAAAATTCCATTTCTGAACCGATCCGGACCAAACTTGGCACACATACACTACGGGCCCCGGCGGGTGTCATAGGCTACTTTTCGTCATCGATCGATATCGATTTTATCGATTTTTATCGATTTTTTTGCTGAGTTCACCTACGGGGCTGGGAGTTGGCACAGGGGGGTAATCGAGCATGGGGATTCCGAATACAATATTGGTTTTCAGGATTATCGATTACTTTTATCGATTTTATCGATTTTTTTGCAAAGTTTGAGCTACGGGGCTGGGAGTTGGCACAGGGGGGTAATCGAGCATGGGGATTCCGAATACAATATTGGTTTTCAGGATTATCGATTACTTTTATCGATTTTATCGATTTTTTTGCAAAGTTTGAGCTACGGGGCTGGGAGTTCGCACAGGGGGGTAATCGAGCATGGGGATTCCGAATACAATATTGGTTTTCAGGATTATCGATTACTTTTATCGATTTTATCGATTTTTTTGCAAAGTTTGAGCTAGGGGGCTGGGAGTTGGCACAGGGGGGTAATCGAGCATGCTGATCATCCCCAAGGGGGGTGATCAGCATGCTCGAACACCCCTGTGCCAAATTCCAGCCCCCTAGCTCAAATTTTCAAAAAATCGATAAAATCGATAAAAGTAATGGACGATCTTGAAAACTAATATTGTATTCGTAATCTGCATGCTCGATTACCCTCTGTGCAAACTCCCAGCCCCGCAGGTCAAACTTTGCAAAAAAATCGATAAAATCGATAAAAGTAATGGACGATCCTGAAAACTAATATTGTATTCGGAATCCCCATGCTCACTTCCCCCCTGTGCCAACTCCTAGCCCTGTAGGTGAACTCTGCCAAAAAATCGATAAAATCAATAAAAGCAATCGATAATTCTGAAAACTAATATTGTATTCGGAATCCCCATGCTCACTTCCCCCCTGTGCCAACTCCTAGCCCTGTAGGTGAACTCTGCAAAAAATCGATAAAAATCGGTAAAATCGACATCGATCGATAACGAAAAGTGGACTGTGACTCCCGCCGGGGCCCGAAGTGTATGTGTGCCAAGTTTGGTCCGGATACGGCGGAGCCGGGTAAGCCAGCTAGTATAAGATAAGCATGCGCAGGCTTAATACGTAATTTTGGATTTGGAACAGTGCTACCTTAAAAATGAGGTCTTACAAACCTTGACAAGTGCCTCCAAGTCGTCGTCCTTTTTCTTTGAAATCCTCAGTTGTTCCTCAATATTCTAAAAAAAACAATGAAAAATACTGTTTGGAAGTGGTCCTACATGCCCAAATGAAATTTCAAGAATGAAAGCTGCATTCTGACGAAGGAGGTCGGTGTATTGTGCGAAGCGGTTGCGAAGAGCGTGTTTGAGCTCTTTCATACAGAGCTGGTGCGCACGCTTCGCCTACATGAGCGACCGCCTTCGTCTCGGACTAGCCTTTACTCCCCTTCTCATGTAAAATTCTTTGTTCCCTCTCTAAGTTTAGTTCTTCTGTGAGCTTTCTATGTAGATTCTTTGCTTCATCCAGCTGCCTGAATACACGGTCTTCGCTCTGTGTTAGCGCAAACTGAGTCAAGCTAACCTATTTAAGTTGTCCTTCTCAGCCTCCAAGTTATCAACTTTTTTCTGGAAACAGATTTTTTGATGTGTTTTAGCGTAAATTATAGAGAAAGTAGAAATATAGAGTGAATTTTGAATGAGCTATGGGTGAGCTATCGCAGGCAGAGACAGGGTTGCTGCGGACGTATCGCCGTCTCCTTGATCAAACACACCCTCATCTCTTTCACCAACTGCCGTCTCTTCCAAACTCAAACTTTCTCAGTGAGCCGCAACGGCGTACAATCTTTGAGTGCGACGAATCGACTAAATCTCGTCTTCAATGTTTTCGTTATCGTTTCTCAGTTTTAGTATTTCCTGTTTAGCACGTGAAAAAAGAACTTTTTTTTTATCAAGGGTTACCAAAAGTTCATCGATAAGTGTTGTGTCGTCTAGATCGTCTAGCTCATCGGTGTCACTAAAGAACAAGCGTCGTACTATCTGCTCTTTGTTGATGGAAGTTCCACAATTTGGACAAGTGGGTGTATCCGTATGCTGAAAGTAGAAAATGATTAAAAGAAGGGAAAGGACCATAGAGACAATTTTACCTACATCAATCCAACTTTGAATGCATTCATCATGGAAAACATGCCCACAAAGCAAGGCTGTCATGTTGGTCCTAGCGATTACTTCAGCGCAGATTACGCATTTGCAACGAACAATCACCTCTTCTTTTTCCACCATCACAGAAAAAATGACAATTAAACTATAAAAGAGTTCGATAGCCATACTGTAGTTCCCTGTGAGCAAAAGTTCTAAAAAAGTGAACCATAAATGTAGCCAACTAACGCCCTGTAACATTTCACATACAAGCCGTGCAAAAACTCATAGCTAGCGAGCGATGAAGATTGCGGTCCCAAAGCGCTTTCCGCCTCTAAAAAATATCGAGCGCGGGATAGAGGACTATATATCGCCGACAGATTCCACCCCGCGCGGACAGCCGGTGCAAACCCGTTATGTGTGTGATTGGTGGAGCTGCGTACTTTGTCGCAGATGTCCGCGCGGGGCCACCCACTCTCAACGACACAAATAGTCCTCCATCCTCGAATGCGCCCTCTCGTTCCGACTTTCTCTTCCACCGCTTTTCGCACTGCTTTTACTTGAAGTTGAAGCGTAAAAGAATCGCTTTCGCTTGAAAGAAGGGGTCAATGCTAGTCTATGCTAGTCTCTGACGAAGGCAGACGATGTAACTTGCGACGTTGCGAACACAGCTGACTTCATCAGCTATAGAGCTCTGATCGTGAAGGCACCGGCTATGGACCTCGCCCACACATACGCCACAAGGCCCCGGTACTAAACCAGTATATCGACTCCAAAACTAAAAATTTCGATTTTGCTGGAACTTCGTCTCGAGAGGTTATTTGACATGCTGATTACGAATTTAAAATTCGTTTGTTACGATACCTCCTCATTACGGGGTTAGAGTGGTAGAGTGTATATACGGTATGGTGTCAAAATCTTATTGTTAGATCTTACTAAAACATCCTTTGGAGGAGTTACTTTACGTGCTGATCACGAATTGTCCTGTTGACTTCGTACGATAGCGCCATTCTCTTGAGTTACGGCGGGTGTACGGTGGGACGGGGGAGGGGAGGGGGAGGGAGGAGGGAGGAGGGAGGGGGGGGGGATGGAGGAGGGGGAGAGGGGGGAGGGAGGAACCTTGGTTAACCGCATAACTTTGCCTAGAGAGGTTTCAAAGTATGCTGATAACAAATATCACGCTCTTCACCTTATAATGCCTTGTTGTAAAGTCATAGATAAACACCTTTCCGAATGTAGGTCAACTCGCACGATTGTAAAGCCTTCCCACCAACTACAGCAACGTGCGACGCACTTTGCCGCGTTTTTTCCTCAATAGCGGCTCGGCAGAATTTCGTTTTCCAGTTCTTCATCTTTTCGGAGCCTTTTCGCCATGAGGAACTCATATCTGGGCTTTTCAACGCATGAAAATAGCAAACATGCGCTTTTCCGAAGGTTTTAAGATTCGCATTCAGTGAAGACACGCCGGAAAAAGCCGCGCCCCGCCCCCTCGTTCTGGGCTCCGCCCACTCCTCCACTAAAGGCTGACCCGGAAAGCTTCGATAAAGGCTCATTTTCGCCATTTTCATGCGTTGAAAAGCCCAGGTATAGGTTCCTCATGGCGAGAAGGCTCCGAATAGGCAAAACACTGAAAAGAATTCTGCCGGGACGCTGCCTTCAAACAGAGCGGGGAAATAAAGAAGTGCGGCGTGCATGACGTGTTATTACAAGTAAATCAATCCCTGTTATGCGAAAGAAAACGGTATTCGTGACCAGAGCGTCACCTCTGCTTCGCAGAGGCGTACTGGCTCTACTATCCGTATGCCTTCTTCGTGATCGCATAATAATGACTTTGAAACTCACCGCGCGATGCCGATCATGACGAATGATTTGTAGAAAACCTTTCATTTTTTAACTTCAACAATGTAAAACCGTTAATTTCAAGAGAAAAAATTCTCCCGCAGAAGAACAAATGCGAGTTTGAATGGTTTACAAAATATTTTGGGTTTATAGTCGCTATAAGGATAACAATCACCTTGGGCTATATATCTATTTGAAAATCTTTTCACTATTACAAGTAAAAACTTGGCAAACTAACAATTTGCGCAGTTATACCTTTTGCCGCCAATTTTGCGTAAAAATAGACTTTTTGCTTACTTTTTGGGCTAGAGTCAACATTTCTCGGATTTACTTGTTGAACAATTCCACGACTTTGCAAATAATCTAATTACCGACCCGTTTTGGCGGAGCAAAAATCGCGTGGATCCGTTTGCGGTCCAGTTTCCAGTGGTTGCACTTATGGGTTGGCTTGTGCTTTTGCACAGTTTACTACGCGCTGGTAGTGTGCTATGACAAAAACTGTAGCTCAAAACGTTGGCTGCACTTCGCTACATGAATTTCGTAACAGATAGACATGCAGACAGACAAACAGATAGATAGATTAGCGTTTTATTATAATCATGATTAGCGCGCCACATGATCTCCCTCGGCAAAGTTACAGCAAATTTCACGGTGCTCTGTCGTACCCCACTCAACTTCTCCATAAAACGACGCTGTCTCAAAGAATGAATATGATACTCGTGATTCGTCAAATAATCCTTCTAAACGTCAGCAAGATTTAAGATTTTGACTCCTTACCGTACACCTACTCTAACTTAAGTAAATGGCGCTACTATGCGAAATTTTAATGTTTGTGATCCGCACGTCAAATGACTCCTCCACAAAGTTTCAGCGAAATAACCCCGGAAGGAGACCTTATCGCAACAGATAAATACTGTACTGTGATTAGCATGTCAATTAACCCCCTACTCAAATAATCGCCGGGAGCAGCGGCCATGCGAATTTTGAGCAAGCGGGCACCGGAAAAATAGTTCGCCGATTTCATGCGGTCCGCTTGCAAAAGTTTGAGAGAGTTTTGGCCAATTTTCAGAGAAATGCTCGCAAAAGTATCGTGGTTTTTCTATGGATTAGTTGCGACGCAGTGGCCGCATTCTCGCGCACTTTCCGCTAGAATATGCAAAAATATTGAGGGCGGCACGGTTCTTTGCGAAGTACCGCACAGCCCGTAGGTGCCTTTCGCTGTAATCCACGCCTTAAAATTCTGTTGACCGCTTGCAGAAAAGCGCGAGTTTGCGGACCGCCTGCCCCCGGCGATCACCTGAGTAGACGAAATTCCAGCAAATTCCGAAATTTTTATTTTTGGGTTTACTTTTTGACGCGTTTTGGAATACTATTTGAATTCGTGAAACAACGAAAACTGTTTGAGCTTCTCAAACAACGCGAGTACATGTCTTCCACGAATTCCCAATTGTAATTTATCAAAACGAGTTGAAATGCACTTTCAAACTTGTTAATCAGACTACGCAGAACATGCTCTCTCTGGTCAGAGAGTGAGTGATTATGAGTGATACAACAATCGCATACACTCACTTTATGCGGCCGCCTTAGGCTCCGGACAGACTTCACACGATTTGATCGTCGCGACTGAATCGCGACGAGACAACTGTTATAACATCATTCCATGCCGATCAACTTGCATTTCGGTTGTGATACTTTTCCAGCCCGAAATTTTTGAATGTGAAATGTAAATGAATGGAAATGTCGGTGATTGAGTCGCGACGGGGCAACTGTTATAACATCATTCCATGCCGATCAACTTGCATTCGGTTGTGCTACTTTTCCAGCCCGAAATTTTTGAATGTGAAATGAAAATGAATGGAAATCTTGGCGATTAGATCGCGACGATTAAGTCGCGTGAAGTCTGTCCGGGGCCTTAGGTGAGGGACTATATGTCGCCGATGGGCTCCACCCCACACGGGCAGCAGGTACAAATCTGTATGCCTGAGAAGTGTGGAGCTACGTGCTTTGTCGCAGATCTTCGTGCGAAACCACTCTTTATCAGCGACATATGTCCTCTACCCCGGCTGCCTCCATTCGAGAGCTTTGGTTTCAAAATAAGTGGCATTTTTTGCTCAATGATCCTCCTCGCGATGCTTTTTTATGACTTTGCCTTCTTCTAAATTTTGGGATTTTGGGCCTGCAAAACTTTTAGGAAGCAGCTCAAAGAAGCACCCCCCCTTTCCCCTCCCCCAAACTCTGCAGAGTCTACTCAAACATTGGCGAAAAATGGAGAAGCAGGCGATTCATTATCGCACGTTTTTTTGGGGTACCTTCTCGTATAATTGTCGGGGGCAGGCGGCCATGCGATTTTTGGCAAGCGGGCACCAGAAAAATAGTTCGCTGGTTTCTTGCGGTCTGCCTGCACAAGTTTGGAAGAATGTTCGCTAATTTTTAGACGAATGCTCGCAAAATCGCGGTCTTCTTATAGATTAGTTGAGGCGCAATGGCAGCATTCCCGCGGACTGTGCGCGAGAATATGCAAAATTATTGAGGACAGCGCGGTCTTTTGTGAGGGACCGCACAGCCCGTAGCAGTGGCCTACCCAGGATTTCGTCTCGGAGGAGGGGGGGGCGACAAAAAATTCTAATGAAGGTGCGTGGCGTCAGCCACGCACTCCGAAATTTTTTTTGGGACGTTTCCCAAAATTTTTCCGGGCCCCTGACCCCAAAATTTCAGGAAAAGGCTTTTTTACAAGGCTAATTTGAATTTTTAGAAATTTTTGAAAATTTTTAAAAACTATTTTAATTATTTACAAGTAAAAACAAGTCCTCTGTACATTTTTATAACACCTTTGAGTAACTTTCAAGAATTTCGCGACCCATTCTTATAGGAAGGGGGGCTCTTCTGCTAGGAGAAAGTACCCCAAACACGAATAATTAAACCATCGATGACACCTCTGCCATATAGTCTCGCCTTACTTGGCGTACGCCCGAAACTGCGTAAATACAGTTCGAGCGCCTGCTGAAAGTTTGGTTAGCGCTCGTTGAAAGAAATTATTCGACGAGCGCTTGCGGAAATTTTTTTATTGCTGCCCGCTTGTAGAACACGGAAGTGCCGCTCGCTGAGCGTTTACACGCCCCAAACGTTTGCTGACCCTTTCAGAAAAAGCGCGAGTTTGCGTACGTAGGGTTGCGCAAATTTTCACTGACTCAGACAATCGCCGGGGGCAGGCGGGCACCGCAAAAATAGATTGCTGATCTCTCGCACCCCGCTCGCGGATTTTTTGGAAAGCAATCAGGACTTTTCGGAAGACCGCTCGCTGAGTCAGCGGATTCCTCAGAGATTAAGCAATATATCTGCAAAAGATAAGAGCGAAAAAAATT